ATCGATTTTGGGAGATTGAGGTGTTTCCCGATGAAACGAAGATCGAAATCACTTTCAGTGGATAAAAAAGATTTGAGCTGGAATGTTTGGGCTTCATAAAAAACAGATGCAACGACCGACGACTATAGCCACAACAATCGATGAGCCTAACCGTTAAGTTTTTAACGATGAAGTACTAAAATGAAACAAAAACTAAACGTTATATATGATTTTGAAAACAAATGAAAGTTTAGGTACTAAAATAGATCAAAACTGATAGTTTAGACACTAATCGAGTAATTTACCCTATATTTAATCATTCTAAGTCCTATCATATTTTTAGTAAAAATTTGCCATATAATATGATGTTGCATGTTACACAAAGTTAGATATTTTTTTTTACTAAAATGCAATTTGAAGACTTAAGCAAACAAAGGGCATAGTTTGGGGCTTTTTTAGACAAAAATATTTTAAGTAATTAAAGTGGTTATATATAATAGTTTAAGGATTTGTTTTAACTAGGGACTTAAAGCAAAAATGGACATAGTTTAAGGACTTATTTTTAGCTTAAACCATCTACATTGATTATATATAATTAAAGTGGTTATATATAATAGTTTAAGGAAATAGTTATATATAATAATGATTGGTCAATAGTTTTGAAAGGTTAGGTTTGATTTTTGGGTTTCCCTGTACCTACTGCGATACTAGCTTTGATTTGATTCCGGAAACGTTGTTAACACATAATAAAATACTGGTAATACATATATATCGAGAATGTAGTAAAAATATGTGGCACCAAAGTACAACAAAAAGGCTTAGAGATATACAGTGGTAAAATAATAGGAGTAGTCGGTTCTCCTAATTCCAAGTATGCTATTCTACGATCTACTACTGTCTGAAAAAGTTAAAATTTACAGAATAAGCTAAAAAGCCCAGTGTGCTCTTTACGGTGTATAAAACATGATGATAAAATACTTCAGTAAAAAGAAATTTATCAAACATGTTTTTAAAATATGATCACTACTCTCATCCGATCACCAGAATGTGTAAGTTCCCCATAATCATACACCTACATGTACACCCGGTAAGGACCTTATACATATAGTATAAGGACCTGCAATAAGGATTTACCATGTGCACAAAGTAGAGGAGTTTGCGGTAAGGTCTTACAAGTCATAGATCATGCCTTATATACTTCCTCCAATAATACCCCCAATGACAATAATAAACATGTATGTATTCAAGTGAAAACGGTAGTTTTATCCAATAAAACATGAAAATATTTCATACTAAGAAATCAGATACAAAAATACAATAATTAGAGATCATATCAGAAATATCCAGTAAATCAAATATCAGATAACTGATATTCAGAAAATCAGGTATCGTCTCGTAAAAATATTCAGTATCATTAGAAATCTAAAACAATTCAGATAAATAGTTTAAAACAGTAATATAATACCATCATGGCACACACATGTACCAATCTGAGTAATCTGATAGGAAAGCTTACTATAAAGTCTATCGATCAAGATCAGTGGCAGCGCTAGATCCTACGAATCGAAAAATCCATATCGTAATCCTAATATAAATAATAATAACCTCTATTTAAACAATTTATAGAAACATGCGAGTAACTCTCGGAAAACGCAGATCGAGCGAATATAATGGACGGGAAGCACAGGATCTAATCGACCCTCAGTCGGGAGAAACACGAACACCTTCATAAAAATATTTTTCTCAAATCAATTACATAACCAAATCTCAAATAAATAAGCAAAATGTTAAAAATACTAAGCATTTTCGAATTAACGGGCTCAATTCAAGGTTTTCAGGGTCAGAATTTGGCAAAACATATCATAAAATCGGACTCAAGAAGTCGAAAAATGTCAAGATGAAGATTTTCAAAAAAAAGTCAACACTGATTAACGATCAACGATCAATGGTCAAAGGTTGACCGATTCGGTTTGGGTTGCATCGGGTCGGTTCAGATCGTGTCGGCCCGTTTCTAAAAACCCACCAGGCGGTGGGACTTTCCCATGCCTAGCGACGACGCGTGGGGCGTGTACGGTGCCTGCGGGGGTCGAAAAAATCCTAAAATTTATTTTCAAGCATTTTAAGGTACTTACCAACCTCAGTTCACAACAGTAAACGACGGAGAGCTTGATTTCGCAACGTCATAAACTTGATCTTCGACGGCAATAGAGACAAGATGGACATCGGTGAACTCGGGACGATACAAGGAACACGATGATACGAGAGGTGTCGAAAACGGAACAACAGTCGGCGACGAAACATCGATTAAAATTTTTTTACTAAAATAGAAAATGTTGAAGAGAGAGAAAATGAGTTTAGAAAAATGGAAACGGTTGAATTTTGGGTCTTAAACCCAACAAAAAAGGAAAATTGATAAATTCCACTATAAGTCCTAAGGCTTTGGTTACTTTCTGATTTGAGTATAAATTTAACTAAAATCTCATTTTGGTCCCCAAATTTAATTAAGATTTTAATTTAATCCTCGGAAAATTTTTTTAAAAAAAATTAGACCCTAATTTGAGGTGTGACAGAAAGAATTACAACACGTATTCTCCGGGAATCAAAAAGCGGAGCGCAACCGTAATAGCGGCCGCTATTTCGTGGTAGCGCCGTCGTCCGAAATCGATAATCGGAAAAATTGCGATAGGTGGCAGAATCACAACAATAACAGTCTTTCGCGGCCGCAATTTAGCGTCTAACGGCAAATAACGTCGACAACGGGACGCTATTCCCGTTATCCACAAGTTTTCGCGTAAAAGAAACCCACTGCCATAGCTTGCTCTCATCATCAAAATAGAGCAAATATTAAAGAGAGAGAAAAGCAAGCAACGCCAAAGAAAGTAAGTAAGGCTTTTACCAATGGCTGAGAGCTGGTCGATAAGCAAATGAGTCTTCGTTTTTATGCTCATTCATCTTCTTCTTCACTTGTTGATGATGGTATGTGCTGTCACTTTCCTCCATTTTTTTGAAGCTCTAATTTGCATTGTTTATGGATTATGCTTTCAAGGTTTCTTGCTTTTGTTTGAGAATTACATGCTGCTTTTGGGACTTTCTAATTTTTCTTTTGTTTTGGTGCTCTCTGCATGTGTTTGCTGACGAGGATTGTTGGGGTGTTGTCGTGGAGAAGAAGACAAAGGCTTAGTCTAGGTCAAGGAAAGGATTTGGGTTTGGGGTTCAATTTGGGTATTTAAATTTTTGGGTTGTTAAAGCAATGGACCATTTATAATTTGGATTTGATGCTGTATTTTGGTGTATGGATCTTGGATTTTAAATTAGATTAAGAATCCAATTAAAAAAAATGTGGTAAACTTGTTACCGTTTATAAGTTAGAAGCATATGTTGTTACCTTAAAATGTATGATGGAAAAATGGGTCATCAAGTATAATTATTATATTTTAGGATAAATTGTGCGAATTTTAAAAAAAATTCACGACCGCGACACCCGCAGTGACCGCGATTGCATCCGTTATGTCCGCAACCGCGATAAACGCGACGGGACCGAAAACGTGACCGCGAACGCTATTTAAATCCCTGCGTATTCTCATTTGATTAAACAGAGTTTAGCATTTGTGTTCATGCTTAATTTCTACAAACACTTATAGACACTTAGAGTATTTGAATAGACTTGGGTATGTAACCCAAACCAAGAGCTTTCAAAGATTTTTGGGATCTTTTAGTTAGTTCGAGTGCTATTTTTATCTGATTTTTGTGTATATGTTCTCGAGGAGAATTCTATGGATTGAACTTTGGTGAAAGAAATTTGATTTCACTTGATTATAAATGAGTTTTAGATGGGTAACAGATTTATTTTTTGTTCGGGTGTTGTAAAACAAATAAATAAGATATTCATTTATTATCTGAGAGGGATAAATGAAAATAAAAATAAATGATCGGATAAAATGAATTATTATTTCCACCACTCTTCGTTTATTGGTGTGTAATGGAAATAGAGGAAAGATTAAGAAATATGATGATTTTATATGTCCAAGATGAATATGAGTAAAACTTTGATTCACCCCACTACGACTTGCACTAGCACGATAGATCAAATCTGTAAAACTTTAAAAAGCAATCCACTCTACTGTAATTTCAGGATGGATCGTACCTGAAACGTTAGGGAATGTTTTATTCAAATTTAAACTTTACTTATCAAGATTTAAATTTAAATCACTTCTATTTTGAATCTAAATTTTAATGAAATCAAGCCTAAACAAGTACGAAGCGGTGGATTTTCATATTTCATTGCGACCACAGATGTTCATGAATTATATTAACATAGAAAGAGAAATAGGACAACACAGAAGAGTTAATCTTGTAGGACCATTTTGCACATTGCTTTCAATTTTCATGGCCCCTTTTTTCCAGCTTCAACCCTACTTTAGTACTCCGGGTACAATTCATGGAAAAGGAAACACTAATTTGTAATTGAAATTTTGATTTATATACCACAATAGTATGTTTGAATAAATAACGGAATCGAATATAATAAAATCAATTGATATATCATACAAAATAATTTTAAAATTTAAAATTATAAAATAATAATATTAAGTATTTAAGAGTTTAGGAAAAGAAATAAAAATGGAGCTTTGAATTTTATCGACTGAATTCAATTAAATTTGACCAATGAACAACTCTACTAAAAATAAATAAAATATTGAAAGGTTAGGAACAGTAACCAGAAAGCAACAGACATAACCCCAGAAGCAAGCAAACTTTCTTTAGGCCAATCTGATTCAAGACATGTGCAGAAAAGTCATTTAAAAAAAAACTAAGCATGCCTTCAAAATCAGTCTTTTCTATCTGATCTTTACTTTCATGAATTTCTATTATTATTTTTTTCCAATTTAAAGAACTAATTTCCAGCTCTAAAGCCAACAGATGTTTTTCTTTAATCTTAATTACAGCTATCATATGCATTAATGTAATTCTAAACAGAAGATTTATTAGTTGTATTTTTCCATCATTATTCAGTGAAGCCTGTATTAAACCGACCGGAGAATGTCAACTCATTTTTCAGCTTTATTTTTTTTCTTTTTACCAATAATGATTCGTGGATTCTCCAGTGGTTCTCAATATAATTGCAGACAACCCATTTGAGGAGTTTACTCATTGAATTGTTCAGTTCAGAAATTGAGACATGGGTATCACCGGAGAGCTGGTTAGAAGTGTCTTCTCTAGGAACAGGTCTTTTGGGACTCCTCGAGACACAAACTTAGTAAGTTTATATATATATATATATATATATATAGCAATGAACTCATATGGCAGTATTTTGCTTAAATTTTTATCGTCTTTGATCCTTTTAGGCAAGAAGTAATGTGACAGATAAGAAAAGATGGGGTTCGGTCCGATCATACCTTTGTGGTGATGAATTCAGTTCAGTTGTTGCAGAGGAAGATTCAAGTTCAGTCAAGAGCTCTGAAGCCACTGTTACTCAGCCTATACCAGAGGGATCAATGGACTTGCCAGAAAATCAGAGCGATGAGACCGAGCCGAATATACCAGACGGCAACCATAACCCAATTTCCAAATTGTTCCATGAAGAAGATGCAGCCATGGTTATTCAGTCTGCATTTAGAAACTTTCTGGTTTGATTCTCCACGCAAATCGATCAATTCATATCTTTTTGTTTTGACGACAGTCTGTAGTTTCATGCAAAAGTTTAGGATCCTGGCATGCTCGAGTTGCTTCGATTTATTGAATTTGAAAGTCTGAATTGGTTCTTGAAATTTAGGCCAGGCGTCTATACATGGAGATCAAAAGAGGGGGTGATAAACAGGAGCCTCCAGCCAGTACCGAAAGTCCGAGCAGGGAGTCTATAAGTACGTCTATTGAAGTTCAAACTGGAAATTCTGTGGAAGTTTTCTCAGTTCAAGATGAAAGCAAAGGAGTACATCACCGAGTTCAACAAAAACCCAAAGCTCTGGTTCTGAGGATAAAGGTAACACAAACAGTAACCCATATTTGTTGTTCTGGGTTCCATCAAATTCATGAAATGATAAGAACCCAGTTTCAGTGATGATCTTGATATTCTCAAGTGCACAGCTGAATTGTCTTTAAATCTAGATAATGCAGATTTTGCTTTAACTTTTTTGTACAAAACTGAAATAACAGGAAGACTGGGATGATAGCACGGTGAGTAGTAACATTTCGAAAATGAGGATTCAGAACAAACTGGAAGCGATGACCAGGCGTGAAAGAGCTCTGGCCTATGCTTTTTCGCAACAGGTTTGCTACTTAGCTTTGTATTTTCCTATAAAACAAATGAGAATGCAAGTTTAGGCTGTGAACTGGTCTAACTTATCGAAACTCCATTCTTAGCTGCGAATCTGCTCGAAGAGAAAACAAGCAAAACCTGATGGAATGGAACAGAACATGAGCTTGAGCTGGAACTGGCTAGAACGATGGATGGCAACCCGTGTTCCGGATAGCTCACTAGGAGAAACCAATACAAAAAAACCATTTGAACCTGTAGACAACAATAACAAACTTGCTATCAGGAAAGGAATTATAGACGCAGCAGGTGACGAGAAAGAAAGTTGCGGATCTAATGAAGTATCCGTACAACCAGAAGCCTTACCAGCACCAACTTGTAAGGAAAAAGATCAATCCAGGCGGCCAAAAAACAGGCTTAAAGCTACACGAAGCATATCGAGGAGAAAAACTGTACCAAGTTATCAACCATCAAAGGAATCTGGCAAGGTTTGATGCTAATAGATGTATGTTCCCTTCCCGGTTTCGATGATGCAACTTGATTATAATATTGTTGCAGGTGAACAAGAAAGAAGGTTCAAGGGAGAGTGTAAAATATAAGATGGCACAAGAGCAAGCTATAATGAGGCCTGAAAGAAATCAATGCAATGATGATTGATGCATCAACGCTAACCATCAACAGTCACCAGATCCTTTAGCCTCTTGATCTTTGGATTTTTATTCTGCTAAAAGGGTAAAATATGTTGCTAGTGCTTACTCTGTTTTATATGTGGCTTCAAGAAAATGGTACATTTCTTCTGTAAATGCTGTCGCTAAGCCATTGTGTTCATCCTGTAAATGCCTGAGTGTCAACTCTTAAGTATCAAATAGTAGCAACATAAAAAAAATGGGAGGAAATGCTCATATAAAGCTTAAATTTCATTATCACTTCTGTAAAAGTAATCATGAGATATGGAACACACTTAAAATTAACAACATACATCTAAGAATGACATGCAAGCTTATGCTTATGGATAACTTAAATACATTATTCAAACATCATCAAATCCAACACCCTAGATCTTGTCTATATCTTCATCTTCGAATTCGACATAATCATCTGCACCTCCATCGTCCTCCTCGTCAACAATGCCTTCATTGAGACGTGTGTTCTCTGGGAGCTCACCATATGCTTTCAAGAGCCTTGCTTCATCAGGCATGTACTTGAGGATTACATCAGCCTTGTCATCCTGATACTCACGAAGCCCGAGAAGAATTATATCACCGGCAGCAATCCAAACCTTCTTGTGCATCTTACCACGGATGTGGCAAAGGCGCTTTGTGCCATCTATGCACATGGCTTCACACCGACCATTGCCTAGCATCCGAAGCACTTGAGCATACTCTTGCCCATCTTCCTTGAACACAAGTTCACGCTTCTCATCATCTGCTTCATTCTTTCCTCTCTTTCTGTTCTTTCCTCCCTTTCCCTTGTTCTTCGGCATGGTTTCTTATTACTGTGTTGTGCCTAAGTAAAAAAACAGATACTTGACATAAGCCAAGTAATCAAGATGCATGGGATATGAAATTATTGCAATATAAATAAATTCGATTTAATGAAATTGGAATAGAAACAAGTGCAAAGAAAATATAGACATAAAATCAATATGAAATTTTGAACGCAAACCTTAAAGGAATATGGGTGGGTATCAAAAGAAACATTATCGCCCAACTAAAAAATCGAATAAATCCCATCTCAGAATCAAAATTTCTCGGGTACTAACTAAAATTTTGAAATTACTTGCCTTCGATTTAATAGCCATAAGTGCAGCTCACTAAATAGAAAAAATGCACAAAAATACAGTGAATATAAAACAAATAATAAGGGGGCAGAAAACATGCTTTAATCAGCTGAAAGATCAGAATTGCATGATCAAGAAATTAAAACAACCAAATCAAACAGAATCTCAATTATCACAACATAACCCTAGAAGTTAACTTATTTGAAAAAGGGGGAAAAGGAGTAATATAATCAAGATCAATTTACGGTACTAATACGGAGATAAAATGATCACAATTAATTACTGAAAAGCTGAAACAAAGAAAAAAACGATAAATTAATAAAAAATAGTGAAAAATTAAGAAAAGGATAAAGTAAAAGAAAAACCTTTTGGATTCTGCTTCTGCTGCGTCGAGCGTAAAGACTAAGGGAGGGATGAAGATGAGAGAAGTTTATAGAGACGAATATGATTCTTCGTCGGTCGTCACCAAAGGCCAAACCCGAGCTTCGAAACGTCACCGTATAGATCTACGTCTATTAATTATCACATACTTTTTTTCTTTTTCTTTTTAGGGTGGTCCTATATACATACCAAAGTTGGTAATATAGGCCTGCCCGAATTTTATAAGAAACCGAATTCAGCTATTAAGTCTAATTTTAATATTAACTATTCAATTACAATTTTATTTTTATTTTCTTATGAAATTATATTTACTAAAATTTCTATTGAATTTTAATGTTGTAATCTTTTTCTTACAAGACAAAGAAAACTAAATGAATTTTTTTTTATTATTTTCTAAATATAATGTATATGATATTTCTTCAAATCCTATATTTATAAATGCAAAGATAAATACCATATAAAAATTTAATACATAAAAGTGATAATACAAATAACAAATATTTATAATATTTCTATCTTAATTGATTTTTTTTCTTCTGCTTGTCAAAATAGAAATGTTACAAGTGTTAAATTGTTGTGTGTTTTTATGTTCTTTTGTTAAAACGAATACAATTGCTTTAATTTTCGGTGCTTTCAATTGATTTCTTTATAATGTTTAAAAAATTTAAGGGGTATGGTTCAAATATGTTTTTGTTCCTCCTCCCCCAAAGGGTCGAAAGTATCACTCCAAAGAAAATGGGCCATTCTCCTGCTTTGTTCTCCAGCTGGTATTTGTTTTGAAGGTTGTCCTTAAGTCATATTCGTATATTGCTTTAGTAGAACTCGTCTATCTTGCTTGGTCTGATCGGTTGACGCCAAAGGGTGTTTGGGACCTGGCAGTTTTGAAAATTGTGATGTAAGTCTTCCATCGGTGCTCCGCAAGTTTGACAGCTTCCATCAGAGGTCATATGTCTGTGCACCTGTTCTGCATTGGCAAGGAGTTTTCCTTAGAGAAATATTTTAGCCCTAGGAAGACTCTGGTGCTTGGCTAAAATCCCCCAGATTTCATCAATTTGGTTTGGTTCCTCAGCACTCATGGCTTTGTACGCCGACCTAATTGTGAACTTCCTATTTTCATTCCCTTTCCATCCTATTGTATCCTTTAGATCGTTCCTGTTTGGGGTTGGGATGGCTTCAATATGCTCTATTACTTCCTCAGGCAAAAATTGCCCTGTTATGTTCCATTTTCAGGCACTGTTCTCATCTACCATTTCCTTCACCTTCTGAGTACTTCCCCTCATACTATTTGCAGCATCGCAACGAGTCTAGAGAGGTCCCAGGAACACCTCTTTAAGATTTTCCAGATTTCGTTCAAGCCCTTCCAGAGGTGGAGACTTCTTTGCCTCTGAATAGACTCAGGAACACCTCTTTAATTTTATATTTATTCAGGGGCGGAGCTATATGCTTTTTAGGGTGGGCAACCTGAAATTTAAAATTAGTTTATTAAGTATTCAATTTTTATACATGTGTTCACCCTAAAATTAATTTGTGTCTATCCTAAATTTTTTGTATGCACCTTTGATTTATTTATGCTCAAAAGATAACTAAAAATACCTATTATAAAAATTATTTTTGATTGAGTTTAAAAATCCATTCATCAAGTCCGAATCAAGATAAAACTAAAAATATATCTAGTTAAAAATCAAATCAAATATACAACCCAAATTTAATACACAATCTAGATACAATACCCTTAACCCCAATGGCAACCATAATCGGTCAACCCAACCCCCAATCCCCTCCAAATTCATTTTATACCCGATACTGAAAAATGACAAAATTATTACCTATTCTCAAATTTCAACGGGGTTAATCTATAAAAACTCCAATAACTTGATAAGACTATAATCTATAAAAAAAATTGTAACACAACCTAAATATTCGCACAAAAAAAGTCTACAAACCTGCAAAAAAATAGAGAATAACTAACAAATGAAACTAAAATAAATAGAGCAAATTTACAGGAAATATCAAATCTTTATTGAGAATTTTTTATGATGGTGAATATCTCCGACCTTAAATTCGTACAGTGAGCAACTTCACGACAGGGAGTGGACAAAGATTCTTTGAGACCACATGGATCAAATGACAGTGAGCAACTTTATATAAATCAAAATATTATATTTGAATTAATTAATATATATCAAACATAATATCAAAATAATATATATATATATATATATATATATATTAAATCAAATAAAAAAATTTATGCATACTAAATCAAAGAATTAAAAATTACAAATACTAAATTAACATATAATCAAATAACTAAATCAAATCTATATTTCATAACATTAATTAATAAATACATTTCAAAAATTAAAATAATATATTTGAATCAATCAAATGATTAAAATCTATAAATACTTTTGAATAATTAATAAAAACATTAATAATACATATCATAACCTATTTCTTAATTAACCATAACATTTTTGGCAAAACCTAAAATGTTAATAATATCCATAACATTTACCGATTATAACTCATTTTCTTACCCTGTATAAAATTTTAGTGCAACATGTTATGTTACTCCTACTAATAACTTTTTCGGTTCTGATTTATAACATTTTGTACGAGACATCTCAACGTTCTGAATATATTACAGGGTCGACATTGTTGCCTCATTCGACTGGGGAAGCAGGAGAAGAAACTCAAGCTAAGATAAAGAGATTGTACCAAGATATATTGTAAGTCATATCAGATATCTAACGGATACGAATACAAAAGCTAAAATGCTTAGAATATTCTCAAATAATAATAAAATAATATATATCTAAAAGTATTCATAATATAATCTAAATATTTGTGATATTTTATATTATATCTGGAATTATCTATAAAATATTCTCAACATTTATAAGATTGATAGCTAAAATGTTGACATGTATCAACAATAGACGAATACTAAAATCTATAAATATGATATGGGATTTATCATTGTTACTAGAGTAGTGAAGGGTGTATCCACCCTGAATTTTAGTTGTATCCACCCTTTATCAAAATTTTGTGTAATTAATATATATGTGTACTCACCTTGAAAAATACTTCTAGATCCGCTATTATATTTATTATGCAAAAAATTTTGCTCATAGCTCCTCCGGTTTCGTGATGAGTTGGAAGTCAACCTTCGTTAGAAATGCATCATTTTACTTTTTTAGAACCTTTAAGCTGAGTCCCCTTCCTTCAAAGGTTTACATAATTGTTCTCACTTGATTAGGTGAACACCTTCTCGTTCATGGGTCTGACCCTATATAAAGTTTATAATTAATCTTTCAATCTCCCCGCAGACGGTAATTGGCGGATTCATTGTTTGCATGGTGTAATAAGGAATTGTGGATAACAAAGTCTTGGCTAGTGTAACACACCCAACCATTGATAGGGTTTTGGTTTTCCATCCCGTCAGGTGGTCATGCACTTTTTGGTAGGTGATCTTACTGACTCTCGTGAAGCAGTGACAGTTTAAGGTATCAGCCAAGGATGTGGACTTTTTGTAATCCAAGACTTTCGTTGACTTTTTCTTTATCATGGTTTGAAACATTTCTGGAAAAGAAAATGTTCGTTTTGGTTATGCTAATCTTGTGACTAGTGCATTGACAGAATTCTTGGAGCACACATTTGATGTCTTTACCTTGATTTTTATCGGTTTATGTAAATCAAATCAAATCGTCAGTGAAAAAAGATGCGATAAATCCGATCCAGTTTTAGACAATTTAATCATGTTCCAACTTCATTTATTGTTTCCGAGTTTATTGTATGTGATAACTTCTCCATACAGATAACAAACAGGGATAAGGATAATAGATCGTCATGTCGTATATCTCTTAAAGGTTTGAAGGCCTTAGATAAAGTACCATTCCAAGTAATTTGCGTCGTACTTGACTTAACCCAGCCCATGATCACATTCCTTAGGTTCGTTGGAAACCGGTGTCCTGAAATGTATCTTCTATAAATTTCCATTCCAGTCGATCATATGTTTTTTTCCAATCGTATTTAATCGTCATCCAACCTTTTTTTTTCCTTTTTATGATATATTGAATGAATGGTCTCCTGAGTAAGGATGATATTTTGTGATAGATCGGCATGAGATAAAACTTGTCTGGTTGCACGAGATAATCTCAGGTAACATCAGTTTGAGGCGGTTAACTATCACTTTTGTGATGATTTTGTACGTGACCTGGCGGAGACTTGTTGGCCTAAATTGGAAGACGAGGGTGGGGTTTTCAATCTTGGAAATAAGCACAATTAAGGTTCTACTGATCGTTTCCTTCATAGCTTCTCCACCCATAATTCTTTTAATAAGTTGGCAAACACTTTTACCCAGTATGTTCCAGTTTTCATGGTAGAAAACTGCATGGACTCCATCCGCACCCGGTGTTTTGAAGGGACCCATGTCGAATACTGACTTCTTAATTTTAGTATTGTTCAGTGTAGGTTCCAATTTCCTCACTAGGTTAGTTTTCAAATTTGGAAATTGACCCCTGACCTTATAATTCTTTCATTCACTCGTAAAGGTTGAGAAAAGGGTTTTAAAGTACTCCACTACATGCTTCAATAGCTCCTGTTGGTTGGTGGAAATAGTTTTAAAAGGGAGTTTAAGGATTAAAATGGAGTTCATTCTTTATTTAGATGCCGCACATTTATGAAAATATTTTGTATTTTTATCGTCGTAGTGGATCCAATTAGTTTTAGCTCGATGGAACCATAGTAATTCCTCTTGCCTAAGTTTCTTCTAGCTCATTTTTTGACTCCTCGAGATGTACCAGAAAATTCGAATATCTATTTTGCAGTGCCTTGTCAATTCTTTCAAGTCTTGCGATGATCCTCTTGTTTCTGACTCCGATGAATCCAAAGATATTATGGTTCCAATCACCAATTTTCTCCTTGAAAATTCTCCAAATTAGAAGAAATGTTGTCATATGTGTCCCTTATGCAAAAATTCTTTGAATTTGGGGTGGTCTAGCCAAGCGGTTATCATTCTAAAGGGTATTTCCTTCTTCATCTGCTGACCATGTGTAGTTTTCAAGAGGATAGAGCAATGATCAGAACCGACCCGGTCGATGTGGATCATCCTAGAATTCGAG